AAAATTTCAGACTTACAGAGTAAAAAGCATTACGTTCATTTTATAGTAATTGCTAATCCGATTTTATTTTTATGCTTATGCCTTATAAATATCTCTAAAGGTATTATATACTGACATTACTTTCGTATCATGATGTATTCGAGTATCACAGTATTTCATATATTGATAGTGCCTACTCAGTGGTATAAAGATTCCCATCAAGACTATATAATATCAGAAAACAGTATAATATTTAATAATGAAAAAGATATACTTAGCTCAAATCAAAATAATGAAATAATTTTTCCGATATACAAGCCGGCTACTATTTCAGCCACTGCTTCAGTTACAAAAAATGCTATTCAAAAAAGGCATCAATACGGGTGAATTTGGGGATTTGCGCATAAAGCTACCTTGCTTGCTGTTGATATTAGTAACGAAAAAATAATTTAAATTCTAAAAAAATATATCAACAAGAAGAAAGATCAAGCACAAAATAAGATTACAAATCAATTCTTCAATTTTTCAAATAACCTAGATAATGAAACATCAAATGAGCTGCAAATAGACAAAATAGAAGAATCTGACAATATTGCTGAGAACATTCTCACAAACCTTGCTGATGTTCAAGATCCTTCTCATATTGTTAGTAAAGGAAGATCTCTGAAGTGAAGATATCTAAGTAGCATTGAAAAAGAGCAAAAATGTAGTATAAGTTCAATTCATGGATCTTACAAATATCAACAATATGGTGAAGCTGACCACAACTCAGCTTTCTATAAAAATAATTCCGAGAATAATCATGCTGAAACATATAACAATTGAAGAGGTCGAGGAAAAGGAAGGGGAAGAAGTGGATAAATAACAAATGATAGAACCTAATACAGAAAATAAATCAAGAATCAATATTAATAAATTATACAAATGAACTTAAAATTGATTTTACCATGTGAATTATGTTACATATATATAGCTTTAGTGATGAATATCCTTTTATAACATATACGTACGTTTATGAGTGCAAGATCTTTCAGTACAAATTTTATAGTCTTAATATAAATGATGTTCTTAGCTATTAGTATCTGATAATTTTTTTAAGATTTGTGATACTTATCATTATTGAGAAAAAAGTTAACAGAAGTATCTTTGCAGTCTTTTATTTGATCCCTGTTTAATATATACTTACGTACGTATATACAATGAATCTCATTTTTCAGTTTAGCCCAATTATAGTTAGGGTTAGCCAGATTTAAAGTTAGCGTTGATTAAAATTATAAGTTGATAAAACAGGTGTAATATTGCATTAATTACATTAGACTGATCAAATAACGTGCATTTATTTGTGTAAATAAAAAACTTTAATACTGTATTTCAATTATTGGCTACTTTTGGTTTATGTGTGATAAAAAAATTTGGTATCATACTTTCAGGTGATATATAAATATAACGCAGGAGTACAAAGTCTAGAAAACTCCATAAAATTATAACAAATAAAAGGTATAATGAAGTATAATGAATACGTATAAATAATTAAAAGTTTAATAAATAAAATTTAATTAAAAGTAAACAAATTATAATAGTTAAATAATAAAGTTAATAATAATTTAAGTTTGTTTTTTGAATAAAAGTTTGATTAAAAAGTTGATAGTAATATTTAATAAAAGTTAACAAAATATTCAAATTTTGTTAAAATAATTCTGTTCAAAAATTTGTATATTTCTAATAAGAAATATTAATTACGAGTTATTAAATTTTGTTTTTGTTATAAAACAAAAAGTTGTTATATTGCCTATATCATCACTATAACTCATCAGTAGATTAAGCAGTTAATAGGCAGGATTCGAATATATGATTTATAATAGTTATATGACATTACTATTTTACTACAATAGATAATTATTTAATTTTCAAAATTTTTTGGTTTAAGATTATTCTAGACTTTTGTAAATTGTCTAATAAGAATATAAGATTGTATGTGATCAAATTAGTACAATACAGAGGTTGAGTATAATATTTATTGTTAAGTTTGTTTAAAGTTCATAATATATTAATATAATTTAATATCTATATCAGTAATAATTTCAATATCTATATCAATATTTATCAATATAGTACATACTTATCCAAACAATACAAAAGAGAGAGATCACTATATAGATATCTAGAAGGGTAATTAAATTAATAATAAGAATAAGAATAATAGTAATAATAGTAAATTAATAATAAAAAATATTTATAATTATAGAAAGAAAATAAGTAAAAATTAGTAAGAAATATAATATAAAAAGTAATAGTAATAATAATATTAATTATTATAATTAATTATTAGGAATAATAAGTAGATTAAGAATTTAAAAAAGGAGAATAAGAAGTTAAAAAAAAAGGCAAAAGTGATGAAAGAGTATAAAGATTATTAGAAACAGAAGGTTTGGAAAATAAAACTACAATAAGAGAGACAATTGAGAAATTAATGAAAGAATAAAGAGAAAAAGAAGAATCTTTTGTAAATAAGAAAAAAAGAAAATAGAAAAAGAAGTATGAAGAGTTGTATAGTAGAGTTAAAGATAAAGAATAGTTGAAAAAGAAAGAAAAAAGTCTAATCAAGAGATGGTAGTATTGGAGTAATTATTTGAAGAAGCAAGTTAGAAAGTTAAAAGAAGAGAAGAAAGTTTTAAAAAAAGAAATGCAGAAAGAGATGGAAAAGGATAATTTATTTTAGTAAAAAAGAAAAAAAGATTGGTTAAAAAAAGAAATTTTAGAGAAGAAGAAGAATAAGTGTCATGCTGTTGATCAGTACCCTGTGTACTATATTCGTAGGATGTTGGGCGTTATAGACTTGGGCTTTGATTGTGAACTGTATTCACGATATCACATGGCCAATAGTTGAGTACTATTAGGATCAGGATCTGCATAAATAGTATAATCAGTGATGTATAAAATTAATTTAAAGACTAATTATATATATTGCATAATGTGTATAACCCAGATAAATATATATCTGAAGATAATCTTGTATTTAAATATAGCGATCTCTAATGGTAATAAAATAACGAAGAAATAAGAGAGAGTTTTGCTTAGTAAAAAATGTTCTAATCAATACGCTGTATAGTAGTAGTAGTTGTTAAGGTGTTGGGTTAAGCTATGTGAAAAGAAAGAACTCCAAAGTGCTACCGTTAAAGCTAGATTTTCAAGTAGAATAACTCTATTTGTTAACCCGCATGACAAGGTAGAACCTGGGCAAGACAAAAGTGCCACTTATATTGGATTTTGTACTATGTAAAATGACAAGGAAGAACCTAGTACAATGTATTGGAACAGTAAATCTTGAAATTAAGGTGCCCTAGTTGCTCTTACAAAGTTGGAAGTTTGTAATCAAGTGTTGTAAAGAAAATGGCAAAAGAACCTGTTAGTGAAAAGTATAGTGAATAGGTAGAAACAAAACAAATACCTACCTACTTAGACATGCCAAAAGTGATAGTGACAACCAATAATTGTGTGAATTGAACATAAGGAGCAGGAAACGAATTCGTTCTGTGCTAAATCATAAAAAAAAAAAAAAAACATATAAAATAAAATCAAACGTTACCTGAGTTGTGAAGTTAAAGAGGATGGAAAGCAAAAATCATTTGGTGACGCTAGTTGAAAGTATGATTAGATTAGTGTTTGAAGTGGTGAAAAGTTTGAAGAAAAAAAGGCAAAAAAGAAATGCTACAAACCTTAGCTATGTTACGTTTGTCGACATCAAGGACATTTAGCCCATTCTTGCCCAGATCAAGAGAAAGATGAATGTCAAGAAGATGTTATGAATATACGATTTATGAAAATTATTGATCCCAAAGAAGATAGTAATAAAAATGAAAGTCAAATTGAAAGTGGTAAAAGGGAAATGACTATTAATAGGATGCCTGAGGATGAAGTGACACAAATAAAAAATGAAATTATATCTGTGAAGTCTTTTGAAAAAAGGGTCAAATTGAATAAGCCAAAAGATATTGAAGTTGATGTCAAAAAGAATGAATATAGAATGTTCATTCATTATCAAAAATCCTCTAATATGGGTGATCCTGATAGAATCGGCAGTAAAATGGAAAAACATAAAGCATTTGGGTATTACCAAAAATCTGCTGATAATAATCTAAAAGCACAAGACAATCTTGGATTGTGCTATCAATATGGAATAAGTGCAGATAAAAATGAAAAAGCAATATTTGAGAGGAACTTGAAATTGATGAAAGTGTAATTGCAGTTGATATTATTAAGGACAATTCTGATGAAAACGCTGTTAAGTTTAAAAGCGATGATTTGATGAAGGATAAGAAGACAATAAATAGCATAATGAAAATAAAATGTCGTATTAAACATCCCATGTGGTTGCTTAATACAAGCTGAAGTATGAATTGTGTTGAACTGAAT